CAGTCAGGCTCCTACGAAGCGACTCGTGCTCAGTGAAGTGGCTCGGTTGTTCGACCCTACAGGGGTGTTATCCCCAGTTGTCATAACAGGGAAGATTTTTATCCAAAAGATGTGGGCTGCCGGTCTGTCATGGGACTCGCCGTTACCTGACGATCTTCGTGATGAATGGCTCAATTACCGCTCCAAGCTGGGAGTCCTTAGTAAAATCCGCATTGGCCGATGGTTGGGTATGGTGCCACATGCTCCGACAACATTGCATGGCTTTTGTGATGCCAGTTCACATGTTTACGCGGCCGTTATTTACACGGGCACAGCCGACGCTGATGGCACTGTGCGTTTCTCACTCCTTACCACGCGAACCAAGGTGGCTCCACTGAAGGGCGCTACAATACCACGCCTGGAGCTTTCGGCAGCGCTGTTATATCACCCGAGGAGCTGATGAGCCACCCGCTTTGGTGGCATGGACCTAATGGTACAGACGCGTACCCAGGTGGCCAAGAGATCCCCTCAGCTACGACGAATCTAAGGCGCTCTGTTCAGAGGCGCGAATCGTTTCGAGCTTTACCAGCGCACTTCTTCACCAGCCACTGGAGACTCGGAGACCAGATGGGCAGGTCATGTTGTTAGCAGAACGCTTTAGCTCGATTGAGCGGTTACTGCGCACGGTAGCTATTATCCTACGTTGGTTGCAGAGACGCCGACATTTCCGTCAAGCGGTCATAGGAGCTCGGGAAATGGACGACGCCTTGGAAGGACTGATCCGTCTTGACCAACAGACCCACTTCATGGCTGAGATTAAGCAGCTGGAAGCCGGTTCAGGTTTGATTTCTTCCACGCGATTGCTCTCACTAAAGCAATAACTTATTGCTTGTTTTGTGCACGCACGGCCAGTTAAGCAGGCATATCTGAATCGATTTCCTTCATCCTTCTTGGCTATTTGATGTGCATTTTTATTGTCATCTGTTGCAAACAGACATTTGGGCACTAAAGAGGATTTAAAATCTGTGAACACAAACGGGATTATTTCTGTGGAATAGTAGCTTATATCGAAAGGCTGGCTTTAATATAATGCTGCATTCCCTTTATTCTATAAACGACAAGGAATTTCTTGATGGGACTTAATAAGAATATTGACTTGCTAGTATCGGAACTATTTCTTGCACGTTTATTTGCCAACATTTCTTCAATGGCTCGGCAGTTTCCAGTTTATGAAAAATGAATCAAAACCGCTTTTATTTAATTTATGTATTACGTGATTTCTGGAAGCGTCGAATACAAAAAAGTGCTGTAACTGGGTTTATGTAATTTAAAATTGTATTGACGACTAGCCAATGCCCGCTTACTTCGCGGCGCCTAATAACAGGGGTGCCCAGCGTTGGCAGAGCTCCCAATACAAGCACAATATTTTTGTATCTGTATGTGTGTACTCAGCAAAACAGCTCAAGCATGTGATGCTTACAGCATGAAGTACAAAAGCAAACTGACCAGCTGCTGGCGGCGCATAAGTTCGGTAGCTGCCAGTGTTGCCACAGACAAATTTTTTTTCCTACCAAAATTTCCTACCAAAATCAACCAAAACCTACCAAAATTTTATTTAAGTTTTTAATATTTTTCTAATGACAACGCATCGAGATTTATGCATAAAAGTCGTTAAATCGTTATTAAAACAACAGATTTTTAAAATAATAGCTAGAGAAAATATCGCCTAACAAGGCAATGCCTTCAAAGAATAAACTGTTTTTTCGCTCCCCTGTAAAATTTGAGTGCCGTAAGATAGGCGGTTTTGCAATTGGGCTATGGTCGGTTTTGCAAAAACATCGACTATATTACTATTATTACGTCTGAGATACACGCGCTGCTTCCTTAGAAGATCTATTGTTCTTAACCCTAATTGTAATCATTCCAACCTTATTTTCTTTCAGAAGTTAGGCACTTTGGGNCTCCCCTGTAAAATTTGAGTGCCGTAAGATAGGCGGTTTTGCAATTGGGCTATGGTCGGTTTTGCAAAAACATCGACTATATTACTATTATTACGTCTGAGATACACGCGCTGCTTCCTTAGAAGATCTATTGTTCTTAACCCTAATTGTAATCATTCCAACCTTATTTTCTTTCAGAAGTTAGGCACTTTGGGAGGCGCCATGTTTAAATAAAATTTTGGATGAAGACAATCCTTCCCCAAAGTGTATCAGTCTGGTATTTATGATACGTGGGCAGTCACATAGAATATGCTCTGGAGTTTCCTCCACC